GAAGTTCAGGCCATTGACTTGTTTACTATCATATATTTGTTGTTTTGATTATATAAACGGATGTATAGCCACCCCAGTGGTAGAAGTGCGCGCCTGTGACTTGAGGGACCTGGGTTCGAGCCCCAATGGTACCCTTTTGGATATTTTTTTTCATATTTTCCACATCCTGACTTTTTTTTTGAACAGGCGCCTGGGCCTCCCTTGGGCCTTATTGTTTTTTTCTTACTTCTAACCCCCTTAGCTGGCTATCCACACCCCTGGCCTATTTTATTTTCTTTTTCTTATTTTTATTTATTTGTTTTCTTAAATATTTTTCTAATACTAAAAAAATCAGGAAAAATATAAAAAAACATTAGATTTATTTTTTGACATAGTTTATTTATTTTTACACTAAAAAAATATTTTATTTAATCATGCTTTATTTTATTTTGCTAATTATTTTGTTAATTAAAAACTAGAGTTTTAGTTATTTTCTTTTACACCAGTTAAATATATTATCTTAAAACCAAAAAAGACCAAAAATATTTTATAATACCATAAATTATTTTAAAGACAAAAATCCAAAAAAATATTCTTCTCATGAACTTAATTCCTTTTTTTTAAATTAATATTTAGATTAGAGTTTTATTTAATTTTCTTTTCCTAGTAATTTTAGGTTTTACTGTTAATTAATAATTTTCTTTTAGTTAATTAGTTTAAAACCAAAACCCCTTTTCTCTAAAAACTCCAAACAAAATATCCATTTTTCTTACATTTACATTCTTGCATATTTATTCATTTTGTATATTATTTATTTCAATTCTTGTACAAATTCAATATGGTTGTAATAGATAATAGGGCTTTATTTTCTTGCAATCCCCATTTATAATTTGTACCCCCCTCTCACAAGTGTTGTAATAGCGTAGTAATTTTAAATTCCGCAATTTATCGCTTTATATGCAAATGCTAGTAATTAGGATTTGTATGGAAAAACTAAAACCAATCAATTAAAAAACCCTAATCAAAGATAAAATCAAACATGAAAACAATACACTTGCACACAAGCACCCCCTAGGGTAAATCCACTTGGTTGCCTTGCAAAATGGCCATATTATGTATGTGAGGTATCTTAGCAAAAACAAGCAAAGTATAAGATCATAGTCCCTCGATGACGTTATCTATGTTGCCTTTCAAATGATCTTAGTCCCTAAAAGATAATTCTATGATACCTTGCAACATTGCTAATCATGGTTATACGATGACCCACACCCGTCCCGTTTACATCCAAAGATAGGGTTACTTACCAAATCAATGGTAAGATAACAATGTCAAAGGAAAAGGAAATGAACAAGAAAGACTTTTGAGTAGGTAGAATATTCCTAGTTACTTGCTCTATTTCAAAACAAAACATCACTACAAGAAAAATGATAGATTGAGACGGTTATTTTGGCTGATTACGACGGTTAAAACCGTCGCAATTTACAATCTACGACGGTAGAAGTACCGTCGCAGAATCGTGCGTCCCCAGCCTATTTCGCGACGGTTGCAAAAACTGTCACGTACAACAGATAGCGACGGTTATATACCGTCGTGAATTTGACTTTATTTTTTGTTTTTGTTGTTGTTTGCGACGGTTACTCTACCGCCGTAGGTTAGAAATTGCGGCGGTTTTAACCGTCGTAATCTGATTTATAAATTTCAAATAATATTTTTATTTAAATTATTATTTAGTAAAATAATTTTAAATATAATATTATTTTACTATAATATTTTACTATTATATTTAAATTATTATTTACTTTAATATTTTTTTATTTATAGTATTTTTATTTTATTTTCTATCACTTTTCAACATAATAAAGTTAATTACAATAAAAACATTTAATATCAAATAATCATCAATAATATCAAAAAAATGTGATCAAAGGTAAAAAGAAGTGCAAATTTTACCAATAAACAAGAAAAATTCAAATATCATCAAAGGCCAAATTTCATTTTAATATTTACATTGGTTTGCTACAACTTGAGAGAATTACAAAAAATGTTACAATATTCTACAAAATTCATGAAAGTCCTTAGTGTTAAGTGATTTTGTGTTAAACTTCCATGCTAGGACCATGATCCTTCCTTGACTACCATTTGGTCCAATTCTACTTGTCCATTTTTACTTGTCCATTTTGCGCTTCTTCTTGTACCTGCATTACAAAACTAACTGTCAATTATGGGCTGGCAGAATAACTCTCACAACAGTTTGCCTAACACAATGACCAGATCTGTTATTCAATAAAAAAACCATTGTTAGCAGGATTCCTGATATTGAGATTAGAACTGCCATTATTTTACCTTTGCAGTTCGGTCAAGTGAACCACTGTAAAGTCGGTCACCAGATTCTGAAATTGTCAAGCTTGTCACAGCCTTAGTATGTTCTTGGATCTCTTGCAACAGAAGTAACAAGTTATCTTTTAACGTCCAGACCTTCAAAAGTTACAAAGTATTTTCAAGTAAGCTATTCATTCAATCCCAGTAAAGTTGTCATATGAAACCAAGAATCAAACATTTTGCTAATGACCAAGTATATATGTCACGGTATTCATATAGCCATTCAATCTTTCAAGCAAATGGCAAACACCATGTCATGAAAATTTTCTCCTTTTTGTGAAACCTTGTATGTTTTATTTTAACGCATTTAGCTCATGCTAGCACAAAATTTAAATAAGCTATAATAGGTAAAATAATTATATATATTATCTGACATACGGATATAAAACTTATAATATTTGTTTCAATAATTGTAATCACGGCACGTTAAAATTTACACGACATATGAAATCCCAAATTTTATTACCTTGATTCTTCCATCTGTATGGCCTGAAATAATTTTATCCTTGAACCAAATGACTGACAACACTTCTCCATTATCTCTGCAATCTACTTGAATTAGCTCTTTATGTCTCCAAATGTCCTGTTACAGTAAAGAATTTTAAATCATCTGCTATCCCTACACTAGGAAAATGGTTTAAGAATACACCAAACTTAACTGTATTAGACTGATTCTCATCAACCAAAACGTTGAGCATTTCAGATGCCAAGGGAGAAAATCTCTTTAGCTCTCTCAAACCTTTTAAGATATCCTTAGCGTAGGAAGCAGTTAGATCACGTATGCCATCTGAAATTTACAATTTCAAGTACAATCATCATATATTGTTGCTTTGCATAAATGACATGCAGGCTTTTGAACACAATATAGAGAAGCCAAAATAATATCATCTTATCTAAATCTGTTGAAGACTGTATTTGAGTAATTTATGATGCTAACAGAAACTGCAAATTCGATGCTATTTTCCTTCATAGACTATTTTTTTTTGTTATTATTATCTTTCTGCTCTAATTTCTTTAAATCAAGGTTGTAATAAATTTCCATGTTTGTGAAACTTACCAGAAAAATGAAGAAAGCTGTTGAGAGCAAGCATAGAAAGGATTCGGTTCTCTATGTCCTTGGCAGAATTTAATTTATTTACAAACTGCTTTAGCAGACAGACACGGGCTGCTCCTTGTATCCCTGTATCTGGTAGAATGGTTAGCATGTTTACGAGCCAAGTAGCGGATATAAAGCATGCTGAACGCAGTTCTGAAATTCTGCTCTTCATGCCATCTGCCAAAGCTTCAAAAAGTATACCAAACTCGTGGCTAACTAGAACAGACGCAATTTTTCTTTCCCAATCATCTGCTGCCTTCTCTTCTTCCTGTTGATTCCGAGTACACATATAATTCTTCTTCCAAGTGCCGATTAGATAGTAGCATCCAATATTTACATATGCCACAAATACTTGCCATCACATGATGCAATTAATCTTCAAAAGTTAATCTACTTCCGGGTTCACGAACTCATTCACTCCAAACTTCTTAGCTGTGAACAAGATTGATTATTACTAAAGTTAGTCCTTGAATTTATGTTGTTGACCAAAATCTTAAATCATTAGATGGAACACAGAAAGTGTTGCACCTAATTCAAATCGGCTGGAAACTAAATCAACTCCAATGATTCTTGATGCACCAGAGATCCTTGCACCTTCAGCAGCCTACATTATGGTTAAAAAAGAAGAGCAAAAATTAATATTGTCTCATTTCATTTCCAATCATAGCTGCAATGCAACACACACATGCAGACAAAGATATAAGAGTAATAACATACAGCAAGGCCAACAACTCCAAGCCCAAAGATAGCAACTGAAGAACCTGGCTTTGGTTTTGCAACATTCACAGTAGCACCAAGACCTATAAGCATCAATGCAAATTGAATTAGGAAATCACAGACCAAGCCTGGTAATATATAAATATCTGAAGCTAGGGATCTTGTATATATATACCTGTGCATATTCCACAACTGAGAATACAAACTTTGTCAAGTGGTGCTTCAGGATTGATCTTTGCAACACATCCAGCATGAACCACTGTGTACTCACTGAATGTAGAGGTGCCCACGAAATGGTTTATGGGCTCTCCATTGATAGAGAATCTAGACTTGTTATCATTGAGCATGACACCTCTGTCAGTGTTGATCCTAAGAAGATCACACATGTTGCTCTCCTCTGACTTACAATGTGGACATTCACCACACTCCCCTGTGAATACAGGCAGGGCTTTATCCCCTGGTTTCAGATGAGTCACACCTTCACCTACGCTCTCCACGATCCTGATAAACATCATTCATTCACATTACATACTAAATTACTGATACACTAAATAATCAAGACATTTTATCAGAAGAGAAGCATATACCCTCCAGCTTCATGACCAAAAATACGAGGAAACAATGGAGTCTGACCCTGAAACAGTGGCAAAAAAGAGAAAACCATGTTAAGCTATTGCGATTCATAACAACATACAGAAACAAAACACACTATTTTCTTAACTGTACGACCAACTTCAGAACCATCAGATTCATCCAGCTGCAGCTGATTGTGTTCGACCACACTATTTTCTTTAAATTTCTAAGAGACCATGGGCTATGGAACTCAGAAATGAAGAAAGGTGATATCCTATCAGCATTACAATTAAGCTATGATCAAATGCCGTCTTATTTGAAGCAATGTTTTGCTTTTTTTTCCCTTTATCCTAAAGGTTTTACCTTCAATAGTGATGAAATTATAAATCTTTTCGCAACCCTTGGGTTAGTTCAACCTCGAAATGGAAGTGAAAAGATAGAGAGTATTCTAAGAGAATATATAGACGAGTTAAATTCACGATCATTTCTTGAGGATTTCAAAGACTATGGCTACTATTACAAGTTCAAAGTACATGATTTGATACATGATCTTGCAATACATGTTGTGAGAGACTACTTTGTATTGGTAAGCTCGAACACTCAAACTATACCAGAGAAAGCAAGGCATTTATCAATTTTAGAAAATGTTTTACTTGACTCTAGTTTGATTCCGGAGTCCAAAAGAGTGAGAACTATACTGTATCCTGTTCAAGGAGTGGGTCTTAAAAGTAAAGATCGTTTGCACACATGGATATTAAGATACAAATACTTACTATACTTAGATTTAAGTAGTTCTTCATTTCAGACTTTGCCAACCTCAATTGCCAAATTGAAGCACCTGTGTGTTCTCTATATTAGAGATAACCACCAAATTAAAACACTTCCGCGCTCTATTTTCAAACTCCAGAGTTTGCAAGTTTTGTCCCTCGTTGGATGCACGAAACTTGAAACATTGCCCGAAGGATTCGGGAAGTTGACAAGCCTTAGAAAACTGTATATAACCGCAAAACAACTTTTTCTGTCACTGGATGAATTTGCAAGCTTGAATCATCTTCAAGTTTTGGGTTTATATAATTGTGACAATATGAAGCATTTAGTCAGCAGGGCAGAAACACTATTCACTTCTCTTGAAGCATTGTATATTCAATCTTGTAAGAGCTTGGAGTCTTTCCCTCTTTATATTTTCCCGAAATTGCAAACTCTGGTAATTAAAGATTGTCCGATGTTCAGTCTGTCGTTGAACTATGAAGGCCCAATCCGGAGGCAGAGATTGAGGTTGAAACATCTGCATCTTAAGAGTTTTCCACAACTTTTGAAACTGCCTAGATGGATTGAAGATGCAGCAGAGACTTTAGAAACCTTGAAAATTCGAAAGTTTCCAAAACTCAAGATGCTTCCTGAGTTTCCAACATTAATGACTCATCTCAAAAGCCTATATATTGATCTATGTCCCAAACTTTTGAGCCTTCCAAGTGACATGCATCGTCTCACTGCACTTGAAGAACTTCGCATTTATCGTTGTCCTGAGTTGTGCCAAAAATTACGGCCCCCATCTGGAGAGTACTGGCCCATGATTGGCCGCATCAAGCGAATTTCTATTGGAAAACATTAATATAGGCATCAAACTTGAAGGTAAACATGTTAGGTTCTGTTTACATTCTAAAAGCATTTCTAACATTAATTGCTTTCTGTAGTGATTGTCCATGTAGAAGTTTCTTAGCATCTCGGTGGAAATATCATTGAACACAGTCATACTCCAATATTTCAGGGGACCATTCTGCAACATCCAAGGACAACAAGTTCTTCAGCGGGTGTCTAGTTAAAGTATTAGTTTTTCATGTCTTAGATAGTTGAAAAGAAGCAGGAAAGGTATGAGCGATAGTGAGTGGAGAGTTTAACCAAATACATTAATACTAAAAAAATAAAAGTTATTTATAATAATGTTCAGCTACTTTTCTTATATATCACTCTCATAACAATAACTCACCATCCCAAAAATGAAAATCCACTTCATCTTCTTGTTCTTCTCACTCTCTTTTTTCCATGTAAGAAACACTCCACAAAAATGCATAATAGTCATATACTAGTACATATTTACTTCAGTAATCTGCATTATATATTTACTTTCCTTTGCTAAGTTTGTTATTTTCCTACATGTAAATTATGTCTTACTAATTTTGTATGAATGCAGGGTTTTATAGCAACCATTGGCAGCAAGGAAATCACTGAAACACAAGAATATTCATTCAAACTAAAGACAAACCCTTTCAGCCCCAAAGCCTCACTCATTCGTCATTGGAACACAAGAATCTCTAACAACCTTCCAAATTCAATCCCTAATTTCTTTCTCTCTAAAGCTTCCCCTCTCACACCACAACACTACGCCAACTTAGTAAATCTCCTTAAACAAAAACCCTTATCTGCAAATTTCCATAATTCCCTCTGCTCCACACCATACTTATTCTGCTCCTTCGACCACCCAAACCAATATTACCAATCCAAAAAAAACACCAAAGATGATGCCAACTTCGCAGTCTACTCAAACAAAAAATTCGCAGCTTATGGATATCTTCTGAAATATGTGCATACAGAAACACATCGCATATTGCGGTCACTGTAATCATACTGCAACATATCTTTGTTAGAATCATCTTAGTAACTGATGGTAGATTAGACCTCTAGAAATAATGCGGTCACTGTAATCGTTCATTCATTTTCCATATAATACAAATCCGAAAATTGATGAAAAGGTTTACAAAGTTCCACTTCTCTCTGTTTTCTCAATCATCTCCTTCGGATCATTCAATTATCATTCTGTCTCCAATACTATTTTCTCAATAAATCCAGCAGACTAAGATAGTGTTTCATTATGTTCATAGGTAGGACGACATGATTTCAATGAGGATTACATAGTTTCCTTTGAAAAAGTAAAGATAATACATATCAGGAAAATCTACATAATCATCCCTTAAAGTTCGCACAAATTTAGTACGAAATGTAAAATAGAACTCACCCTTCCAGGTTCTTAGCCTCACAGAAACTTCTGAAGGCGGCACAAATATTTGTAACTTTAGCAGCGCCAACACTGAAACAAACAATTCACAAATAATAAAATAAGAAGAAGAATAACACAAAAAAATATATTTCTTCAAGCTATAGCAGTAATACACTAAAGATATAATCGAAAACAAATACAACATCAAGTATACCCATAGATGATGATTTGTTTTATCTATGACATCTCCCATTTATGGTTCTGATTTAGAATTTCATCCATTAAAAACTTCAAATCAGCATCAGTGACAGTGTTTGAGGTTCTGCAATTGTAAACCCTAAAAAGCCCCAATTTCAGTAAAGCGTATGAAATTGAACGAAAATAAAATGAATAAAGTAGAGTAGTAGACCTTGGGTTTAAATTGCTAGAATCGGAGATCAAAGAGGACGCCAACAGGGATCTGCTCTTACGGTTCAGAAGAAACAATAAAGTAACAACAACAACAAGAAGAAGAAGAATAGCGCAGCCACCATAGAAGTTGCTCAAATTTAAAGGGAAGCCATCGAAGCTTCTTAAGGTTCTCATCGAATTTATGTGGTTGAAGTTTGTACAGAGAAAAAGCAAAAGTATGGAGAAATTTGGAGAAAGATACGTGAACAATAAATAAAAAGAGAAATAGACGAATTCGGGGGGACGATGGGTGTGGTTACCGTCGTGCCCTTTCATAACTTTTGCATGTTTTTTAAAGGTTTAGGGGGGCGACAGTTGTTTTACCGTCGTGATGTCTATTTTAGGACGGTTTCTTAACCGTCGCAACATTCATTTTAGGGCGGTAGGTGTATACCGTCGTGACATGGGTCCCTATATTAGAATTACGACGGTTATTAAGTAACTGTCGCAATTTTTGTGTCGTAAAATCCTAATTTTCTTGTAGTGCATCCTTTCTATTTTCAAAAACAAACACCTACACTTTCAAAACATCTTACAAACTTGAAAACATTTTCAAAAGATCAACATCTTTGTATACATTCTTACGAACGAGAATCATTACAAAGTTTTCCTAAACAATGGCCTCTTTACAAAATAATTTCAAAAACCACATAAAGCACAATTTCAAACAAAAGAAAGTGATCTAGCAAGTAACTAAGAGCCCATAGAAAACCATGGATGAAAAGGGTTCTAATACCTTCCCTTTTCATAATCTACCCCTCGAACTCAAGAAATAATCTCAAAGGTCTTTCCTGTGCTTTTTCACCTTTTCTTTTGGATAAAAGAAAAGTCGATGGTGACTCTTGCTAACCGCAATATTTGCAATCAAACGCAAAACAACCAAGTTAGTTCTCCCACCGTATCACAGAACTAGCGACTCTGCTGGGGATAATTCTAAAAGTGGGGTTACCTTAGGGTTAGATCACATTTACTTGCTTTCATTGTTTGACTTGTATGCTTTACATTTTGGTTCTTTGTTTAGGTTTGAATCCTCTACCTGAATTTAGGATACCTTATAGATAATTAGCAATACATTGTGGAAACTGTGCGGGGTATACCGACACGGTCTAAGCAATAACTATGTTAGTGCGACATATTTGTGGGTACCGGTAGCCCTTGAGTTAATCAAGGAGAATACGGGGCCGCTGAGTGATGTCATAAAGCACTAATGAACTTTTAGAACCTTTACTTGACCAACTTGGCCATTAGGACGTAGTGAGATGACCGACTTTGGTGCAGTCCGAAGTTGGTAGATACTCGATACTACACTCATTGAGGTTTGGTTTTTTGGGATATTTCGGTCGCCATTAAAGAGGATTGTGCTGAAAAAATGACCAAAGAAACAAACCAATGATATTGAGCTCCTTAGAACCCGATTACTATTACTAGAACGGGTTTGAGCCAACTAAACTTCAAGAGGGTACTTACCTATAAGACTCCATGCAAGCCTAAACCTAAGGACTTGTTTGCTTTGTTTGTGTATACTTACATGTACATAACATCATGAACATCATAACATCATACACATTCACTAACCATTTCAAGGATCTTGGGATTTATCTTTGTTCTGTTTCATAGGACATGGATTCTATTCGCAGGAAAACTATTCAAGTCAATCTTGTAAGAATTCTTACTCAACTTAAAGAGCTAGCATCAAGGATTCCTGAAAATTCTCCATTCACCGAAAGACATGGTCGCCTACTAAACTTGGTTATCTCCAACACTGATGAAGACATGATGAAGGTGCTCTTTCAGTTCTTTGATCCTTTACACCATTGCTTCACATTTCTCGATTATCAACTTGTGCCAACTTTGGAAGAATTCTCCCAACTCTTGAGGATCCCCATTCTCAATCAACTACCTTTCAACGGTATGGAAAGAGATCCAAATCCAGAAGAGATTGCTCAAGCTCTACACTTGCAACCATCTGATATCACAACTAATTGGGAAACAAGGAGTGGTGTCAAAGGTTTCCTAGCAAAGTTCTTGTTTGAGAAAGCCCAAAACTGTTGGAACTCTTTGGATTTGCAAGCTTTTGAGGAAATTTTGGCTCTCCTCATCTATGGGATGGTTTTGTTTCCAAATCCTGACCAACTTATAGATGTGAACACCGTCAAGATCTTCTTATCCTGCAATCCGATGCCTACTTTGCTAGGAGACATCCTACATTCTTTTCACACTCGCACTAAGAGGAAAAGAGGTATCCTTATGTGTTGTACTCCTTTGTTGGCAAGATGGTTTATTCACATCTTCCCCGATCTGTATTGAAGAACAAGCAAGGTTCAAGGTGGTCGAAAGGTTGATGACGCTCAAACATTCAGACATCCATTGGTGTTCCCGATCTATAGAGAATGTTATCATCGTCGACCGTTGTGGAGAGTTCCCTAATGTCCCTTTACTTGGCATTAGATGAGGTATCACCTATAACCCTTGTTTAGCCTTAAGACAGTTTGGTTATGCCCAAAGAGATGGCCTACATGAGACGTTGATACAAGGTTTGGTATTTGACTACGAGAACGACGATCAAAGTCATCGCCAGAGATTTATCCGAGCTTGGAGGATGTTGAACAAGGTAGATAGTAAGACATTGGGGCATAAGAATTCAATCCCTCTTGAGCCTTACCTCAAATGGGTACGAACTCATGCTCAGAGTCTTATGATGCCTTATCCCTCCATTCTCCCGGTAATCATTGAGCCTGTTATGGAAGGAGATGTTCCATACACTATCCTGCATCCTGACATGCCCACCTCTCTTGAAGACTTACAAAGAGATTGGATACAACTCAAGGGGGAGCGAGACACTTTTGAAGCCCAATTCTATGCTAGCGAGAAGAAGGTTTTGGAACTCACTAAGCAACTTCATGAGGAGCAGACTCTGAATGCCTACATCGCACCAAAGAGGATGCGTACAACCTTTTTATCTTAGAGTTTTGTATTGTTTTTCCCAAAGAGGCATTGATGTACTCAAGCTTTAATTTATTAATATAACGTGTGTTTCCTTTTTGTCTAAAACAAATTTGAATCTTTAAAATCCTTGAAATCATTGCATATGCATCTACCATTCATCATAACATAAGCAGGTTTCTTGCAACAAGTCTCCTCATCTCTCTACTGTTTATTTCAGTAAG